AATTAGACCCTTTATTCTAGAGAGCATGCATTTATGCAAAGAGGATGTTTAGCTGGGGGTGAAGAGATGAGGACTTGGCCAGTTATGAACTTGTAGAATAATCATGGGAAAAATGATGAAGTGCTCATAGTGGTATAGTAATGACATACATAAAGCAAATGTGTTATGATTAGATCAAATTGCAAAGAGAAATGAGTAAATGTTGAGAACAATGTCGTGTTCAATGTGTAAACAACACATCTCTCTCCTTAGCTGGGGTTGTTATAAGCAAGCAAGAGTTAAAAATACAAGAGCAATTTTTAGAGGCAACCTCATGACTGGCAATCAGTGCTAATAAGATTCTTTTCCTCTTGCAAGATTCACAGAAAGCCCTCAATCCATGCCGAGCACATTCAAAGGCAAGGGACTAAGCGCTCCCCTTACAGGTTCATTATCATTCGCAGGTTATCCCAAGCCAAGTGAATCAGGAAAGCAAATGAATTAGTGAGAATTAAGGAGCCTCTGTGGTCTGAACCCTCTCCAAATCTCAGCTAAGATGAAAGGTAGACGCTGATGTCTTGTGTCCCGGGGTTTTCAGAATTGGAGCCCCAGTGCCGAGCCGCTTCCTCCAGAGCCTTGCAGAAATGTGCAGGCAGTTAATGTTGCCTAACGTCTCCTGACCGTGGGTTCAGCCATGTGGGAAAAGTTTTACGAGGCTGCAAAAACCAAACCCCCTTTCACTCACAATTAATTACAGGAGAGTTGTTATAGCACCTCGCTGTCAATGAGTCCAGTGAAAGCGCACATTCCTCTCATCTCGCTTAGCAATAATCAAAGATACTCAGGTAATGTCTTAGTGCATAACAATATCAAATGGGGTAGTTAAAAGACACCTCTAAAGCACATTGAACCACTAACAGTGTTGTTTCGTTGGAAGTGAGACCTTAAATTATAGGATTTGTACATGACAGGAATTCACTATATGAATTGGGATCTCCAGTGTTTACCCTTCCTATTTTCATCTGTCTGAAACGAAGCAGCACCTGACAATCTTTTAATCATATACTTGTTTTTAGTTTTGTGATACAGTGATCTTCTGAGGGAAGCTATGGCCTTAAAGTACAATGGGTTGGAAAAATTTGAAAGGAAAGCAGTTTGTTTTCATTAAATACTTGTTACTGCTAATTATATTTGATCATTATAAATAATATAGTTTAATTAAAGAAGCACATCACCTAGAAAAAATGTTTGATTTCCAAAGGATAGCAGTATATCTTTGCACTTGCAAGTAGGGGGTGGAAATAGCAAGTGAAAAATGTGCAGATGTATTTGTTTGTGTGTCTGTGTGTGTTTGCATGTAGGTATAAACAAAACAGTATTGTTTTGGGGAGACTAAATGTTTGGTAGAAAAAATAAATCTATTAAAAGGAATTTTTCCAGTTCTGATAATGAAATTATATTTAAAGGGCTATATTGCATCATATCAGATGATATCTTTATGTGTTTTTAAAATTATTTAACATAAGTAATTATCTACAATAAAATGACATTTGTCAAATGACATTAACCAATGTTTTCACAGCCTAGGTCTGTATCAATGTTCTCATCAGATATATTTCTCTGCCATAATTTTTAATGCCAGCTGTTTCACGAATGTGAAGAGTTCAGTATGAAATTACATGTTTGTCATAATAAATCTATAGATTTAATTTTATTTTTTTGCAAATGATACTTTTTCAACGTTAGTTTAAAGGAAATTAATAGAAAATGAAGGCTAATAACTCTACATGTAACTGAAGTCTTGAATTCATGTACCAGTTTACATAATTGTTCCTTTAAACAATCATGTTGGAAAATTCTCTAGTTTTTACTTCCCCTCTTCATATAATTCCTGACTCATGACCTCCTATCTACCAGTCAGGCTTGATGTGCATGACTGTATCTCATTTATAATAATCATGATCTTTACAGAGAGATCGATTAAAATATTATGGTTCTTTTAAAATCAGAATGCATATCAAACGAAGCCTCGCTTATAAAATAGAGAAAAAGCCCAGGCTTTTGCAGTCTCCTCCGTGTGAATAAGATGTTTTAAAAATCTCTTAATATTCAAAGACAGTTAATCATTAAAGAGGCAAATATGTTAATACGATTTTATCACAATTGAAAATGCTGTTAGTGGGTCTATGGATTGCACTGTTCTATATACACTACATTTAACACAGTTAACAAAATGAGTCCTGAAACTCAAAAATCACTCCCTCTAAAATAATATGTAGCTTAAATAAAAAGCTAATATAATTTAAAGAATTGTTTTCTTTTTGGTATGCACTCGTTTCTATAAAAAGTATTATAGAAAATACACAGTATTTTAATCCCTTCCCTTTTTTTTTCACATAAAATTGCTGAATGGAAGAAAACCCCAACATTATTTAAACTGAGGTTGAAAATATCTAGAGGCTTCAACAGTGGACAATTTCTTTTCCTTGTAGTTATAATTAAATCTTTTTTTTTTTTTTGGAGAGGGGGGGACTTGGGGGAAGGAGGAGGAGGACAGTGTTAGTAATCCCGTCCACTATATTGCTTGCAAAGAAAATGCTCTAAGACTTAAAGGAAAGATAAAGGTGAACTGCAGGATAGTGTTAAAATTCAACAAATCTCATTCTTAATTCCTTAACACTGCAATGCTCTTCATTTCCTTGTATCTTTTTTATTTTCATCAAGCTTTGTGCATTTGTGCTTGGAATTTGAACATTTTTCTGTTTTTTAAATTAGATGAATGAAACATTTCAATTGATATAATTCTACCCACTCTCTTCTTAACCGCTGTATCACAAGAGGATTTTATTAATTTCATTTTTTAATGCTGCTCTTGTTTTTAATCAGTTACCTCTAGGTTAGCTTATGTATCACGTTTTGTAAATTCTATTTATGTTATCCAAAGAATTAAAGATAGCAGATGCAGCTAAAATCCTTTTCAAGAAGGCTTGAGCACAGGACAGAAAAAAAACCCCAAACCAAAACAAAAAACAATTAGAACAATCTCCCAGCTAGTATCAGCCTAGAAAGAAGCAAAGCACACACAATACCCTCAAGTGCGTGTGTGTGTGTGTGTGTGTGTGTGTGTGTGTGTGTGTGTGTGGGAAGGGCTTCATAATACCAATATTATTTAAAATGGTGTGGATCTGCGGCAGCCTGCAGCAACAGCAGCTCCAGCCAGTGCTGCGCCAGCCAGGCAGCGGGCCTGCCCTTGCGCTGGCCACAAATGACCACTGAAATCCCAGAGGCACTCTTGAATTTCTGCATTCTCATTTCATCAGCTGCGAAATATCTGTCACTCATGTCCCACACTGGGCAAAGTGACACCTGCCAGTCTCAAGAACAAGGACAAATTAATGTTCCTCCACCAACTGTGTCTCAGAAATGAGTGGCGAGCGGCAGCGCGAGCAATCAACAGCTCGAGTACATTGTTAAAGTTTGCAATGCATTGCTGGGGGTTCCTTTCAGACAAGGTAATTTGCAGCAGCTGTTGTCGGTTTGTGCTGTTATTGAACATGTGTTCTGCTGATTTCCCTCCTAATGAATCTTTTAAAGATATTTGCAAAATACGTGTAAAATTGCATTGCTGAGGTTTCATGAAGCTGCAAAACAAGGTGGCTCATTTTAAACAATGCTTGGGAGAGATAGTGCAGCAGCTGCCAGATAAACACGTAAGCCAGACACTCACCTTATCCACTCCATCTTCCTAGAAATCACTCAGAAATATTTTGGATAGTAGGTATAAAATCTCCAAAAAACCCAAAACAACAAAAACCATTTCTGATGTCTGTCATCATGTCACATCATGTTATGCGATATTATATCTGCTTGTGATGAGATGCAACATGACAGGATGTAATGCAATGTAACATATAAAAAAATGTAAATAATCCACTTTTGGGGATTAGATATCTGCGGTCAATTCCTATAGCAGGAACCTGAACTGAATTTATTGAGGCGGATGGGGGCCCAGCAAACACCAAACTGTGCAGGGGTGTTTGCAAACCAACACACATCACAGTTCACTGCCTCTCCCAATTGCTTTTGAGTAGTTTGGCTCTTATATGACTGCATTACAATGTTAAATAGAAGTTCTTGTGGTGAACAGTCTTGTGACTCAATAATTTCGTTAATTATCACCGCCTACAGCAATCACTCCAATGATGACTCGCCATGAGTAGCTGTTTGTACATTTTAAAATATACTGGTTGGAAATAGCTGTAGTGGTTTTCACAGCAAAACACACAGTGTGAACAGAAAATCATGTACTAAATAGGACATAACTGGGGAGAAAAAGCAGTGCTTTGGGCCAAATAAGAGATTTCTCAGGACAGCATAACCTCCTGGGATCTCCCTGAGGCTGAAGACCTTCCTTCCTTTGTTGGCACAGATCTATCTCTCTGTAAGTCACTGATCAAAAAGCACCTACATTTTAGGATTGGACAGGCTCTGCACCCTTTTATCACAGCAGCAGTTCACCAGTGCTTTCTGCCAGTTCTGGAGGGGCAGGCTTGGGCACGGAGAAGGGCTCTGGGCAGACTGTGCCCATGAGTGCCTGAGGAGCCAGATGACTATGCCATGGAGAATGGGCATTTGAAATGTCAGTGAATGTAACCTGAATGGTCTGGGGTGTTCTGTAACAGTGGGGAGATGGCTTTTGAAGTATTGCATAGGTTACTGATGATTTGGGGAAATTAAAAGATCTAGATTTGCCTTCACATAGCCATGGGTAGGGGAAGGGGCTAATCACCAGCAGTGGGAGGAATGCATCCCAGTCCCCTGACCTTCTCCCAGCATAGCCCAGGTCTCTCTTTGCCTCTGCCCCTGCCTTCCTACTCACTAACTGTGGCAGCTGATTCCAGCTCAGAATTCACCTATTTGTGTGCCTAGTGCCTGGGAAAAAAAATCCAAGCCATTGCATTTCATCGGTAGTTAAGTGCTAATGGATGTCTTAGAACAAGCTTTTAATTTTCTTTCAACAGAAGACAAAATGCCATGTTGTCTGAGCTTTGACTGCACCACAGGCACTCTGCAAAAATATCTTCTTACAGCTACAAGGGCTTCACCCCCACTATGTTTGACTGTGTTGGGAGCTCGAGCACAGGTGAGTGGACAGCATTTTAACTACTATGTTTATTCAATGTTCCCTAATCAGGGTTAGATACTATGATATTTATAAAGCCCCATTCTCTGTACCCTCGAAGGTTGCCCACCTTGGTAGCATCAATGCCATTGAACTGGTATTAGCAGCAGTGAGGGGTGGCTGTAAATTTTGCCTCATGTAGACAAGGCTTACAAGGTAAGCAGGCAGACCCCCAGCTGCAACTGCGTGCCTGGGAATGGAACCTTTTATTTGCTGTCATAGTGATGACTTTTAATTGTCCCAATAAACAAGCTTTTAAAAAGCTTCTAAAATGTTCTCTAATAACACACTTTGGTGTTTAGCCATAGAAATGCAGAAATAATTAGAAGTGCCATTGTGTACAGTGCCTTCTGGACTGGGCTGAAGGTGAAGGAGAAAGTATCATGCTATCCTTGTCAGCTGCAAGGGTAATTACTGCTGGCTGAAATTACTCAACATTTGTTTATAAGCTCCCCAGAGCATGCTGTAAATAGATTGTCTGTTATAGTCCAATCACATTAAAACGCTGCTCCTTGCAAACTGCTACCTCCTGTTTTCTGTAAGCTAGACAGAGAAAGCCTGCTGCTCACTTATTGAGCACCAAGCACTGAAGAGCTATGTTTAATGTGATTGTTTTCATTTGCTCTTCTCCGTCTGATATTACATTTATAGTTTACTGGGCTTGAAGACTGGCATGTTGCATTGCTTTCATTTACTGTAGTAAGACTGAAAAGCTTTATTTCTGGAATCTGTATGCAACAGTTGATGGGAATTTTGGAATAGAAAAAGTGTGGAAATATCTACAGACAACTTGTTCTTCTCTTGGGCAATGGTGTTTTCTCTTTGCCTTCTAAATGCTTCTGCACTGGTTCCAGCAGTGGTCACATTGCCTAAATTGTCCTTTAAAGGATGAGCAGTATTTTCATAAAAGGTTAGAAAGAATGTATTTCCCTTAGCACTGAATTTCACACTACAGCATTGTCCTGTCCATTATGACCTGAGTTGTATGAAATAGAGATGCAGCCACAGCCTGTCTGTTTGATTTGCTCTCAGCATGATTTACCACATCATATCACAGCAGCTCAGGTATTTCCAATAAATATGGGGACAAATTTGTCGCTGACATATGCAGAGAAAATTCCAGTGCTATCGATAGAGTTGCATTTGCTCCCACCAAGGTGAATTTGGCCACTAAACTGAAGATTTAGGGGAAACAAATAGAATTTTGTAGAAAACTCCTAAATCCCAAAACAAAACAACCCAACACATAAAAAAAAAAAATCCAAACACGTTCTATTTCCATATATTAAAAAAAAAAAACAAAAAAACACAGTACATATCCAATATTAGGTATCAGAGGCAGAAATTTGTAACCCCTGTTTCATGAGTAATTCATGAGAACACACACAAAGGGTATTTCAACACCACTCAATTTATTTACCACTGATTATTGCCCAAAATCAGTACTGATTATATATAGAGTAAAGTGTGGACTCGTCATGTCACATTTATTTGAAAAGGTTAGTAACAACATGCTGCCTTGCATACCTCCATAGCTGAAAAAATAATCTAGACATTACTGAATTTACCCTGATTTTCTTTAAACACAGGCACTTCACTGGTGTAAATCCTCATAGAAGACATTGCAGCTATGACAACTTACACCAGCACCTGGGCTTGCCTGGAAATAACACCACATAGCAGCAATGTTAGTGACCAGTAGAGAATTATTAAAGGAACACAGATAATTGGAAGAAAATAAATGACCTGGGTAGAAGAGCTACTATAAAATGAAGTGCAGGTAAATCCCTATACTGGACACCTTCCAGCCTCATGTCCTAGGTGCCTTTCTCCCTATTTTTAACATCTGCTTAAAGCTTCTGTTCTGTGCAAACCAGTCAGAAAGAAAAAAATAATTGAAATTTGGATATTCACATTTGTTTCTAACTGGAATCACTGCCTGTGGAAAACTGTCCTTCTGGGAAAGATGCTGGAGTGCTAGAAATGATGATTCAATTGCCCATTAAGATAATTCCAGGAAGTACTACTTTCTTGAGGCTGTATTTCCAGGAATGGCAATCATGGCATCACTGCTCTGACAGTGCGTGAGGTATCTCCAGAAGTGGACACAGCAGGTGAATATTTCCAGTTACTACAAGTAATACTACAGGTTAGATCTTGTGGTTACCTTTATTTGCAAAAGCTGGCTAGTGCAGCATATTGCAGTCCTTTGATGATGAACTATACCAATTGTTTTGCAATAAGTGGAAGCTTCTTTGCAATCCAGGTAACATTTTTTTATGTTCCTATTCCTGCTTTTTCGTGCTATTAGAGAAGCAGTGAATCTTTAAAGAGAAACTTCCTACAGCTAAAAAAGACATTAAGGGGGGAAAAAAGCTGGGAGCCATAGTGACAGGTACAACTAAGGCTGTATCCTTCGGTTCCCTGGAAACCGGTCAAACACTATCTCATCTTGCAATGGTTGTGTCTGATCCTCTGCTTCAGACATCTTCCTAATAATGGCAACTACAGAGGTGACTCTCTGCAAATAAGGGCTTACAGCAACTGGACATCCATCATATATCTCCAGAGCAACATTAGACCACCCTAATGGGTACTCCCGTCTTCATTATGATATTAATTCTCTAAATTTCCAAAGTGATTTCATTTGTAAAATGACAAAGGCTGGCTGCTCAGGAGACAAAGTGTTTTCATCCCCCTCCTGCATGCTTACAAAGGCTTGCTCTCTTTAGTCTTTGGGGGAAAAGAAATTTGATAGCATTAGATCTCTTGTGATACACAAGGCTGCCTAACAGCTACACCACCTGCCAGCACCGCATGCCTGCCCATCCAGCCTGAAGATTCTAAAGCAATGGTTGATGAGTAGAACATAGAAATTGGGGGGGGTGGGGGTGGGGGGGGCAGCGGGGGGGCTGGTAGAAGCAATGCAGGGAGAAAATAGAAGCTGTATAAAATACTCAGTGTGAAAGTGAGGCAGGATTGAGGGTAAGGGTGAGGTCAGAGCCAAGGCTGGAAACTGAATCAATCTGACCAAGGTTGGTTTGGTTAGATTAGGTAAAAGCATGATTTTCTCCCTGGTGTATCAGAGCCTTTGCTGTGGCTACAAATTCACTGACAGTCAACCAAAGTAAGCTTTTCACAAAGAGACAATTCTTTGCATAGCTCCTGTTCTCCAAACTCTTGAGGATTAAATAAAATAGAAGTGGAATTAAAAAGAAAATCAGTAAACCTGTGACATCACCAAATGTTTTGCCCCACATAGTGACTAACTAAAGTGCCTGACTGAATAATAGTGAGAAATTAGGAAGTCCTTTTAAGGGCAGTGATGGTTGTAACCTGGCTTGTGAATGGATCTGGAAGCAAAAAAACCCCAGTATTTAAATACACTAAAAAGTGTACAAGACACCAGTCTCACTAGGCTTTATGCTGCTTTAAGAAACTAGACAAGCCTTTAATTGGTCTGTTTCAGATTTTCTCTTGTATACACATCTTCCCCCCCGTTGCTGTCCTCTGTTGAGCTTGCAGAGGCAGCAGTGTACGAGGAGACTTGCACCAAGGAGTCCAGCTCCTCTTCCCAGCCAAGATTGCCTTCAGCAAGCTGCTGATTTTAGTGCTCCACCTACAATTTCATTCCCTTTGTCCATGTCCCACTGCTGGATTTATATTGTAGCTACTACAACTTCCCCTTTAGTGATGAGTCTCAGTAACCAGGGCCAGCGCTTGGTACTGGTGTAGCTGCATGCCCTCAGTCCTGGGGCATCCTGGATCCCAGGTGTCCTTCAGCTGGCAGGAAGAGAGCAGAGAGCCTGGTGTGGCTGCAGCCCAAGACCTCCTCCACACGTCTCACACACTCACCCCCCAGGCACATGGGGCAGCTCTGGGGGTGACTGTGCCAGGCAGTGTGACACTCAGAGTGGCATGTGGCTCTGCATCCCACCAGTGCCTTTCATCAGGCATTTACTGCAGATGGAAATTTTCATTAAATTTTATAATTGTATAAAAGTGTTTCCATTTCACAAATTTGGAGACATCACTGTAACATCTTGCTTAAAACTAAATTAATTAAAAACATTAAAAACATTGAAGAGGATGAATATTTCCCAGAGGAAGCCTTCATGTTTAGTCTAGAGTAAAGCTCCTTTTTTTTTCCATTTCTCTTTCTTTCTGACCCAATAAATCTTGCATTCTTTGCTGAACAGACATGCAGCTTCAGCAGGAAGCAGACTGCCCCCCTCTTTTCCCTTCTTTGCCCTTGTTCCCCAAATCTCCAGCAATTGTGGCTTAACTTGGTTGTCAGAGCCTAGGCTGGAGCTGTAGATTTGAACCCCCTCACACTGAGGAGGTCACTGAACCGTAGTCAGCTCACCAGTTTCTGGGTGAGTGCTTTAACCACTGCTATAAAAGATGAGCAGCAGCATCACCACCATCCATCTTTAAAAATAAAGAGTAATCCAGTTGTCCAGCCCTCGAGGAACAAAGCACCTATGAGTCAGAGGGTTTTGCTGCATGTGAATGAGGGTTACATCTTAATGTCTAACTGGAGGCTCTGTGTGCACAGGTTAGTTCTGTAGGAAACATGATTTTGGATTATTAGTCTCTCTTCATAACTCACTAGCAGATTTGTACATCACCTCAACTCCACATACTTTCCGACAAAAATCCTTGTTTCCAGTAGTAAGAATATACCACAAAATTAATCTGCCTCTTCAACTTGGATACCTAAATTTTCCTCAGAAATCACATTGTTTAATGTATTGTTTTAGACACCAGGACTGAATTTTAATGCTGTAATGATCCTGCCAGATGATGACTGTGTTGTTTCTGTGTCATCTTTTATAGACATGGGAGATGGAGATGCTCAGAACCTCCTGATAATATGCTACTTTCCAGTTCCACAGCTTCATTTTTCTGCACTTCTAGTGTTCAGCATAAAATCATGATGGTCTGAAATGGGTTGGTAGCTGTCCCTATCAGTTATTTATGGTTTTTTTTTTAAATTTTGCATTCCATAGAGTAAAATTTAAACGTGCTGTAAGAAACTCTACAGTGATTGCTTATCTCAGGGATAAACTTGTCTCCATGTTATATGCTTATGATGTTATTGAGGGCCCTTTGGCCCTCAAATTAAATTATTAATGGAAAATTCTTTGTCATTTGTTTCTCAATGTCACATGAATGTAAAAGTATTTTTCAGTGCTGCTTCATAGAGAAGACATTCTGCTTTTGCATTTAAGTTCACCTTTTCTGAAAGAGGTGCTAAACTACTATTCTTTTCCATCTTTAACTAAATACTGTAGTTCCCTAAGATTAATCCATTGCAGCTGGTAGTAATGAAAGCTCTGCTAATACCCCAAAGTCTTGATTATTTTTTTTTTTTTTTGTTAAAATCATAGGCTAATATTTGGAGGCTTGTGCCAGTCTCATGTAAGTAAACGAGTATAAATCCACTCTGGCATCATATGGTTTCTGTCTTCCATGGCTGCCTTCCAAAAGCTGGAAACTCCAACCTAAAGTGTCACTTCAGTATGGACAACATACCAAACAATTTGTTAAGGGAAAAAACATCTCATTTCCTAAGCATTTTGGATGCTCTTTATTAATCCAGTGTAGACCTGGAGCAATCATTATAATGTGTTTAGGCTTCCTGAACTTTACTATGGAAAGAATTTTTCCAAGGGTGACTGTAGGAGCTATAGTATTTTGGGTAAGAAGTCTGCGCTCAGGAACAAGAGCAGTATTGCTTTGCTGGGATTCAGTGGGTGAAAGCCACTGTGAAAGGTGGCTCACCACTTAATTTGTGGTGAGTAAAGCTCAGACACATAAAAAGTGGTGTGGCATAGAGATTTTGCTGTTAATCACGTATGTCCTTTCTGCTCTCATGTTAGGCGACAGCAGAGCTATGACCACTTGACGTGGTCCAGGATGCCAGTTATGCATGGAAGGGTTGAAAGGATTTTTTTCTCTTTACATGCCTGGGGGAAGTGAAAACTTGGTGCAAATGATGTTTGGTCTTTTGCCATGCTCAGATTCATAAAGAAAAAATGTGGCTGGAAGCCACTTTTACTTGCTCTCTCCACCCAAACTGTACTTTTATTGCTGAGCCTCTGGAAGGCACAATACAGCACCTGACTGGTTCTCTGCTCTCAGATGCCTCTCAAGGAGAAAACAAGTTGTTTGCCATTTTCTTCCCTTGTCAGATCAAGCCAATACACATACTCAATATACCTATCTTGATAAGTTTTCTTTATTGATGACTCTCACTTTCTCTGCAAACAATATATTTTCTGCCATACCCGTCCAGGTAAATAGGGTTCACTCTGGAAATAGAAGGAGCAGAACCATATGGGAGAGTATAAAAATGAACTGACCTGAACTACAGTTCTGAAAACACTGTAAATTGTTTCCATTCCTTGACAAAGTGATCACATTGGGTAGGAACACCTTTGTGGCTGTGACTTGTCCTCTAATTGTCTGGCACCTTTCAGGGAATAGGTCTACTTGTTTGCTAAATTATGATGCAGGGAGATGATTTGCCAGCTTGATCTGGTCTTTTCTGCATTGACAAGACTTCTTCATTGCATTCCTATAGAATCCAGTACATGAAAAAGCTCAAAGTTAGCTCAACTTTTTAAAATGTTTATATAACATCTTTTTTTAGTGGTATTTGCACCAGTGGTAGTGGAGAGATGCCGCAGATTCACTGGACTCTGCACCATGACTCTACATATGTGTTGCTGATTTGATAAAAACTGTTTCAGGGATTCATGGTGTAGAGCTTTCTGTACCGACTTATGTTTACCCAGGGAG